CTTCGAGCAAACGGGCCCAGGTCCCCAAATTCAATAAGAAGAGACCGACATGGTCTGAAACAACAGTACGACATGCTGTGATTCTCAGGAACCTTTCCACCAAGGCGTACGAGTACATGAGGGGTGAAGGCCTGCTCCAATTGCCAGGACGCAGTACACTGCAGCGCTACATTGGAGGGATGAGCGGTGAGGTGGGGTTTACGCCCTTAGTCCGAGAGAGATTCAAGGTTGAAGCACAGAACCTGGCTGTACAACAGTCTAGAGTATGCTCTCTGGTTGCTGACGAAATGCGCATAAAACAAAGGCTACAATACCAGAAGCAGAGGGATGCTTTCGTCGGTGAGGTGAATCTCGGGCAAGGCTTTGACGGTGTCACAGTCAACAAATGCAGCGAGCACGTGCTTGCCATTCCCTACTATGCTTTGTGCTCAGCTGTCTCACAGTACGGTTACGTATACCCGTGGGGTATTTCTTCACTAAGAACTGTGAAAAGTTGTTGCTGTCCAGCATGATAAAATTCTTTATCAGAGAGGTAGAGGCCGTCGGGTTTATTGTTTCCCGCATTGTGACTGACAATCCCAGGGTAAACGTCCTCGCAATGCAGACCCTTAGTGGTGGACATCTCACGCACTGCATCGAGCACCCCAACGACGGCTTCGGAAAGCTATTTTCAGCGTTTCTTAGTGCCATCTGAATGTTCGTTCGCAGTTTCTTGCAAGAGACCTCGGATGTGCTGGGGAAGTGAGCTCCGTTCACCTAAAGAACTTGTACAAGCTCCAAAGCAACAGTGTTTTAAAGCCAGTTCGTTTTCTGTCGAGGAAGCATGTCTTCCCTAGCAACCTGGAGAAGATGAACGTGCAAAGGGCAGTACAGGTCCTCTCACCGCCGGTGACAGCAGCATTGCAGTTTATGCGACAGCGAGCAGGCCACACATGTCGCGTATCTTATGGAAGTGTTGGATCCACGGTGGAATGTATGAAGAATGTTCACAAGTGGTTCCTCTTAATGGATGTGAGGAACTGCACACAACATATCCTTTCCTACAGCAAACCATTCAATTCTGTAGACGATAACCGCCTTACCTTGCTCGAAACAACATCCGTAAAGTACCTGCAAAATATGGAGTCACGAAGTTGCGGAAAAAACTCCCTCACGCGTGAAACCTTCCGAGGCTTGCTGATGACTACTGCCTCCAATGCGGACTGCATCCGCCACCTCCTGACGGAACAGAACTTCAGGTTCGTCTTGTCTCGTAAATTCTCTTCTGACCCCATAGAATCGTTCTTCGGATGGCTTCGAAGGCCTGCTCGCAGCAACGACCAGATGGACATGAGGGCTGCCATTTCTAGCCTGGAGAGGGTATTGAAGTCAGGGATAATCTCTGCCACCAAGGACAGCAACGTGGCGCACTCGTCGAGCTGTCAAGCACTCCCTCTAACTGCAAACAAGAGCGCAGGACAGGACGAAGCAATTGCTTTCCCAAAGAAGCAGCGGCTGTCCTCGAAGCTGACTTGATGCGAACACACTACTTCTTCCCCACCCCTGAGATATCGGCCATCTCTATGGTAGGTGGACATTTGGCACGGGTGGTGAAGGAACATGTCAACTGCAGTGACTGCTTCCTACTGGTCATTAAGCAGGCTTCTACGGCTCGCAGTGATTCCCTCATCAGGCACCAGGACAGGGGAGGACTGTACTATCGATCAGAGAAGCTAGTGAGGGCGCTGTTTGCGCTGAAAGAGCTTCGTAGAGGTTTTACGGAAAAAAACGAATATGCTGAAAAAGCCTTTGCATGCAGCTGTTGAGACTGCGGTAGATACACTTATGCACCATGGGGCTCTGAAATGCGCAAAGGCAGATAAAGATGTCAACCATTACAAAGATTTCCTGCAAATTCTGTGTACTAAGTATTTGAGGCCAATCTTCACAAACTACTCTGCATCCGTGACTGACAACCATGACCTCAAGAAGATCTTCTTCAACAACCCACTATCTAGGAAATCATTAAAGCTCTAGAACTGCATTCATGAAAACCAGCGCAAACCAGAAGAAACCAGTCAAGAACATCAAGAAACTGTGGGCTCAGAAAATTAAGAAAACAAAAAAATATATATTTATATATAAAATATACGTCAAGGTCACCGGTCAGAGCGTTTCCGACGGGTGCACAGGTTTTCGTTCAGCGAAGGCTCGTTCGCGGCTAAGAAAAACCACTTGACTTCCGCATGTGGTCCGCTGGCCGTATGTTTTCCGGCCCTGCTCCAGAAGCAATAAAAACGCTAAGTGGTTGCTGTTTCAACGTCGTGAAAGTCCGCCAGCCTGTCTGTCTCCTCTTTAATTTGGATTGTCAATTACTGTTGTCGCTATGGCAAGCACCAGAGGTCTGGTAACATTTCGTCATAGAAACAAAACCAAGACTAAACGAAAGGTTAAGACTTCTTATACATATGAAAACCAATTCACAAATGGCGCCACAGTGGACTGTAGCAGCGGGCAGCGGAGAAGTGTCGTCTGCATTTTTGTATGGAATTTTGGCGCCTCTAGTAGCAAATATGTGAAGCAGGCGCAACAACGACGAAGCATGGGGAAGCCAACCATTGGGCAGGCATTAGCAGTATAAAGTAGGCTATGGTAAAACATACAACCAAAATTCATTTGTCTTTCAATCTTCAAAATGCGCAATTGATTAATAGGTCCAAATATCTGGAATAACTTCACTTTAAGGATGTTAACAATAGTTAACCAATTACATGGGAGCCATGCAACATAGATAAGTCAACTGGTGTCTTCGCGTGTGCATATGACTTTTTGCTTGCGCGACCGAAACGGGCCCCTATATCAATATCAGGGATATTTTTACAGATATATGTCGTGAACGGGCTATATATGGCAGTGCCTTTACCTTTCATACAGAGATATATTGCCCTATTTGGACGCGTATATGGCGAGATATGGCCGTACTGACGCGCTTATATGGCCATATGTGGCAGTATTTGCCCGCTTATATGGCAATATCTGGCCGTATTTGCTCACATATATTCTGCCATATGGCCATATTTGACTCCATATATTATCATATATGGCCATATATGAAATATATTGTCACGAATGACGATGTGACACGCAAGGAATAACTGAAGAAACTGAAACGTTTAATGGGGCGAACTTCTGCCCAAAAATAAAAAGGAAACAGAAGATAACAGCAGAGCGTCGCGGGCGTCGAAGTTGGCGTAAAAGCAGAGTCGAACGCTGGGGCGAGACTGACTGCGGATCGCTCACTACTCAGAGCCCCTTATGTACGCGCGTTGGCTTCTGGAACCATCGGCCTAGAACGTTCGGCGACTGGAACATTTGGAACTCGATCAGTCGAGAATGTTCTCGAACTCACGAGAACGCAATGTTGAAAGAATAAATAAAAGGACATTCCACCGACTGGAATCGAACGTAGATTTTCCGCGGGACAGTCAAGTGCGGTAACCGCTAGACCACGCACGCGGTCGCTCGCCGACGCGCGTGGCAATATCAGGGCCATATATGACATGTAGCAAAATAATTTGATGGCCTAGGTGGTTAAACATTGTACAAACAATTTTACAAACACAATTGTACAAACAATTCTTGTGCCTTAATTTAATTTTAATTTTCCACTATCTTGTCACTTAATACTTTAAAATAATTTTGTCGATTTTTGTAAATAATTTCTCTCGTCATTCTCACAGCTACTCTTTTTCTTTTTCTTTTCTTATTTTTGTGATTTTAATCTTATTTGTATCTTTGTCTTCCTCTTTCCTCTCATAAAACGTCAGTTGTAAGTAGCGCTCTGTCCTGTCTTCTCTTTCTTTCCTGTGTTCGTCCCCAGTCGCGCTAATTGTTTGTACTATATACCATATATGACATCTCCGTACGGGGATGTACTTTAAGAAAAGTAGTAAGTACATCGAGTGCAATGTACTCGATGTAAAGTACTCTAAATAGAATATAGCTTCAAAGTAAATTACAAGTACTCTTTAAGACAATCTTTCATGGTGTCATTTCAATACCCTATACAGTTTCTTCCTTTTTTTATTTGGCATTCATTGCCCCAGGAGAATCAGGGGTGGATCAGTTATTTTCGGAAACGCGCCAAAGATTGGATAAGTCACGTGGCTTCAGAGTTCTCAAAGCATCATTTTGTGATACAAATCAAACGAGAACAAATTTTATATGCATTGTTCTGTATTTCGAGGAATTGGTGGTCGAGTGCGCTAGCGCACCGAAGCTCGGAGGGCGTAGAGCGAGAGCTCATTCTGCGGAAGCCAGTGATCCCGTGTTCAGTCCCCACCCCTGCCCGTTTTGATCTGGATGAGCATCGTACGGGCGAGCGGTCGTGTACCAGTACTGCTTGGCGCACGTTAAAGACCCCGGGTTTGCGGTTGCACTGCACTGGCCAAATTTCTCATCTATACAGCTGAGAGACAAATTCGCCCATTGAGGCAGGCAAACTTCCAGCTGTATAAACGTACAAACAGCACAATTATTACTTATTTCGCATTGAAATCAAAGATTCAATAATAAAGGAAGATTTAGATGAGGCTCAACACGAGCAGAATTCGGAGCAGTTTGGAGCGTTGAATAATTTTTTTTTTTTTATCTTACACATGGTTCGTCGTTCGCCAGTTACGTAACATAAAAACGCGAAATGAAAAGCAAATAAAGCTTCTTTAAACTACCTAAAAGATCAAGCTGTATTTTATCTATATATATATATATATATATATTAGTATGACCGGGTATGGAAAAAAGTAAATGATCGAAAGTATGCAAATGAATGAACCGTTCTTGATCGAATGAATCGAAGTTTTACGAACCCGCCGGAAATCAAAATAAACGGCGGAGCCAGGATTTGAACTCCTTGACTTCCACTATATATATAGAGAGAGAGAGTTTTTTTTTTATAAAACCGGATTTTTGAGTTTTCGCACGAGTAAGCGACGTTAAAACGAGATTTTTCTTTCTCTTACCTGGATTTTTTCGCACCAGCATAGCCGCGTTGGGTAGGGGGGATATCTTCGGATTTAACGCGGTGCTTCTACGCTTTCCCGCTATTTAATCGTGACTATGCACGTTTCAACATATTTCCTGGGCAGTACATAATTTGTGCCCTTTGCCTTAGTACGGCGCGTTATCGAAGCAGTGACGCACTTCCGCCTTCAGTATGAATCGTAAGGGCTTAAGGTGAATGCTCCCTTGAAGTTAGTATACAGTTTAAATGTCAACAAGAACAATAAATACAATGCTTCTGTTAAGAATGAAAGAAGTGCGTGGGCCTCGTCATCTTTATGCCTAGACGCTTCAAGCTACCGCAGTTACTCGGAAGTTAGCCCCCGAGCTGGAAGGGGCGATCCAGCAACTATTGCACTTTCACTAACTACCGCTTGGAACAGTGGTGCACAACATGGTAACCGGACAAAAGCAAACGGGATAAAATCTTTACCGGACAGAAGATCACCGGACAAAAGTTCACCCGTTTTTTCACAGACGCGGACAAAATCTCCTAATTTTTTTGTTTTGCTATCCGGGCGAAACACTGGCTGGGATAGAGTGCGGACGCGATGGGCATTGCACCATTTCTAGGAGAACTGATCCCATGCCATTTGAAAGTGTTGACAGATAAGCCACAACAGGCAGAAAAGCAACGACTTGGGACTAAAATTTAGGTCACCATAATTGAGAGGAGCTGATAAGATCAAGCTTGCTTGACTCAAGGTATGCCCGAACACATTTGTGCCACGCCCAAGGAACTTCACGAACTGAAGTTTTTGAACCCGAAGAGTGACCGAAGCAGCCAAGTCACCCTTTGGTGATCTCGCTTCTTCATCGTGCTTATGTCACGCTAAACGCGCACATAAAGGTTAGGCATAATGTGTATTCTTTCTAATGTTCTAATGTATGGGTTTTCTGGGGTTCAAGGTAATACTTGATGTGGATGGTCAAGATAAATAAATTATTTCCGTGATTGCGCGTTGTAAATATATTTGAAATCAAGGATTATTTCAGGATGAGGGGAAGGGGAAACTGAAGAGAAACTGTAATAATAAAACATTGAGTTACGAATTTTTAAAAATATTTTGAAGGAATGGGAGTTGGGCCTTTTGAACAAAGTACAAGAGAGACGACCAATTCAGAAAACTGTGTGGCATTTTGGATAGGCTGCCGTTTCTTCCACCACAGCTTGTGCCCGAACGGCTACCCTACATCAGAAAAAAGTCTACCGGTGACATCGGAGACCTGCTGGACTACTTTGACTGCACGCATGTCAACGGCCCCTTCCGTTGTGCTTTTGTTCCTTCTGCGACGGCACCCAGAGCGAATTCTTCCCTTTGCCTGACTGTGAGCCGACGGCGACCGGAGTTTCCCCTGGAACGGTGGAATATCTACGACGCCACTCTTCAAGATAAAGACCGGACGAACAACACCTTTAAAGGATGGAATACCAGGTTCCAGAAGCTTGTCGGCCATGCCCACCTCAGCCTATGGAGGCTGATTGAATGCCTACAGTAAAATCAGGCGCTCGTTGCCGCGGCATTGACACGGGCCCGAAAGGGTGAGCCCCGAATGGAATCGGGTGCGAAAAACCACTCTGCGGCTGCAGAATCGTCTGAAAAAATACTTGCAAGGAGTTTCAGGTACACAGAGATCTACCAAGACTGCTGGAGCTAGTAAAGAACTGCATTCGCTTCTAACCAATCGATAAATAAACTTGTTTCTACTCTAAGCAACAAACCATGCGCCTGTCAGATGTAATTTAACGTTGCATTTTAGTGTCGCACGCATGCACCTAAGTTGCCCGCACTCGTGTTAAGAGCAACATGAAATTTTCTCCTGGTAAACTTTTGTCTGGGTCTGTGAAAAGATGGGTGAGCTTTTGTCCGGTGAGTTTCTGTCCGGTGAGCTTTCGTCCGGGATTCGCACAACATACGGCCCGCATGTGTCCCGCGACTCTTCTCCTAATAATTGTTTATTGCTGTTTGTGTGCAGGGCGATGACGATAATCATTTAATATAAACATTTAGTACGTGGTTAAATATTACTTTTGACACGTGAATGTTGAGTTTATTAGAACAATCATCCTCTAATAAAAAATAAAATAAAAATCACTTCGTTACAAAACATAGCATTAATAATTAGCAAAAATATTTCCAGAACTTCTTTTTTATAATTTGAGAATATCGTAATATAAAAAAGCTGTTTTTTTTTGTTTGCTGGTTATTGGGTGTCAGTCGCAGAATACTGGAAATGATAGTAAACGTCCAAATCAGAACGAATCTGGCCTTATTTAACAAAATGGTCTCAGGAACTCAAAAAGAAATTTAGAAAAAAACAAAGCAAAATGTATCCACACATCATCGATTCTTCTGCTTTACTGCAGTCGTATGGAAAATCGTGTACCTCGTTGTATTCTTGAATTGTGCTGGTTTGCACTCGTTGTTTCGCAGAAATTTTCGTGAGGTGCCTTCGAAATATGTTTTTCAACAGATGTAATACATATATCTTATACACTACAGAATTGGACATATCATTGGGGAGGGATTTTGTTTTATTTATATGATCATAATTTTTTATATCGAAGAACAAACTGTACACTTTGATTTAACTTGGGCACTATCCGTCGTGGCAATACACCAAACAGTTCATTCAAGTAAGGAACAAGCAGTTTACGCGTCATCATCTTGAACTTTTGGCAGAAGAATAGCGGTATGTGATATAATGGAGTAGTAGCATCACAAATTGTTACAAGCGTAACGTTTCGGTATTATGACCACATTTGTATATTAAATGCATGGGCTTCTATGGGAGCGTTGTCATAACCCTCTAAAAGATGGCGCAAGCATACGATGCCACAAATTTCTGGGGATAAGCCCAGACCATATTCACCCCCTAAATGTTTTCCTCGGGTCACACTCTCTGTTCATAATGCACGTAAAACGAAAACAAAAAAAAAACATCATGACTAGGCATTACCAGCTCGCCTGCACACTTACTGTATTTTCATTCATTTTGTGTTGGGGTGAGCTCAGAGCTAAGGCCAGCTGGTTACATCGGGGATCCCAACGGGTGAGGACTGCGCTTGCAGCTGTTATTCTTCGCACCATAAGAATGTTTAAAAAAAATGCATGTTTCTGCACCTTGTAATTTTTCTTCCGTATTTCGTTTTGGAAATACAACGTTCATTGCGTGTCTCCTTGAATGAACTCCGTTGCCCTCCGTTACACGTCATCGGGGCCCTTTCCTCGATGACGGGTGGAGAGTGACGTACTCGGGAGTCATGACGTACGGACACCTGTGGAATGTTTTGCGTTCCCGATCGATCGCCCCCGAAAAATGGCCCCGGAAAAAGGGCACCGGAGAAGATCGCCCCGGAAGAGTGTGTCCCAAGTGGAAGGTACACTGTGTTCGAGGCGGGGTTTAGGCCGCACGTCCGGAGGCTTCCTGTCTCGTGACGACGTCCATTCCCCGAAGTGAAGAACCCAGGGGTTCAGTGGAGGTGGGAGACTTGGTAACGTAACGAACGGTTTAATTACATGGTAGCGATACAGTCGTCAAATCCGAGAGAACAACGGAGCAGCCTCGCGCTCCGCCTTATATAGGGTCCGTTTCTCCCTCACTCCCCGCCAGGGCAGCCAGTGCGATGCAGCAACCCGCCGTCAAGTGCGATGCAGGAAAGTTCGCCGTCCAGTGCGACGTAGCCAAAGTTCTCCGCAGTTAGGCCATGCCTCTCTCCCTTTCCCGAGCGCACCAACCACCACGCACACACACACGTCCCGCTAACGTCACGGGCGCGTTGAGACTTGTTGCCGCAGGCCCCGTCACGCAGGCGACGGTCCCAGACTCGTCGGGACTCGTTTCGCGCAGGCCCCGACAAGCGGGCGACGGTCCCGGACTCGTCTTGACTCGTTTCCGCAGCGTTGAAACTCGGAAGAAGGTCGCCGAAGGTTCCATTCTTAACAGCCCCTCCGGGGCCAGGGAAACCTCGAATGGCCGGTGATACTATCGCTGGCCTGAAGAGGTGGGCTTGGAGTAGGCCTTGAGAAGACGCTGCAAGCACTAAGCAAACTCCCAAACCTCTCACAACGGAGGCATCAGCGGAAACGTCCCCCAAAACACCACGCCACACCGCAGTCAAACGCTCGGAATCCGCCAGAGACCCGTTAAGAATGGAACCTTCGGCGACCTTCTTCCGAGTTTCAACGCTGCGGAAACGAGTCAAGACGAGTCCGGGACCGTCGCCCGCTTGTCGGGGCCTGCGCGAAACGAGTCCCGACGAGTCTGGGACCGTCGCCTGCGTGACGGGGCCTGCGGCAACAAGTCTCAACGCGCCCGTGACGTTAGCGGGACGTGTGTGTGTGCGTGGTGGTTGGTGCGCTCGGGAAAGGGAGAGAGGCATGGCCTAACTGCGGAGAACTTTGGCTACGTCGCACTGGACGGCGAACTTTCCTGCATCGCACTTGACGGCGGGTTGCTGCATCGCACTGGCTGCCCTGGCGGGGAGTGAGGGAGAAACGGACCCTATATAAGGCGGAGCGCGAGGCTGCTCCGTTGTTCTCTCGGATTTGACGACTGTATCGCTACCATGTAATTAAACCGTTCGTTACGTTACCAAGTCTCCCACCTCCACTGAACCCCTGGGTTCTTCACTTCGGGGAATGGACGTCGTCACGAGACAGGAAGCCTCCGGACGTGCGGCCTAAACCCCGCACTGTAAAAAAATGTTTGTGATATAACAAGAAATATCGAGAAACTTTCGTTCAAAATAAGAAAACGGTTTTGATGGATTAAAATGCGGGCAAGCTTATCGGTTAAAAAACTGGGCTTATGTTATTCAGCAAGAACACAAGCTTTTTGGTAAATACAGTCTAATATAAAGACACAGTTTTGTTACCCTAAAATACGTCGTTTTTTTCTAAAATAAACACTCTTCAAAACGTTCCATTATCTGTAAGAAAATGGAGCTTCTGTTATTTCCGCATCCCTAACATTTTCGGTGAAGAAACAAAGTCAACAAAAAGTCAGATCACTGTAAAAATCCGAAACTTTCCTCCCTCCTGCAAAACTGATGATCATTGTGAGTAAACGAAGTCACTGCTTAAAGAATTTTGTTATGGGGAATGTTTGTTCGCAAGACTCGGTACAGTGCTATCGGGTTCGAATGAAATGCGAGCAGCGGAGCGCGTGGCCATCGACACATGCTGCGCCACCTGGAGGCCTCTGCAAACTGGTAAAACTGCGGGGTGGAGAGTAGGGCACTGCGAGGATGTGCGTCCTACTCCGATGTGTTTCACGCAAGCTTCGACGCTGCGTTGTTTGGTGGCTGTGGTGCGCTTGAAGCAGACATGTACGTAACGTGTTCGTAACTAGTAAGGAGTACGTGTACGTGTAACGTAACTAGTAAGGAGTTA